ATAATTACCCAACTAGGGCGCACTGAAGATACTTGAGGAAACGAACCAGAAATACAATTAATTATTGTTGTGGGGTAAAGCGACCTGAGGGACCAACAAAGCACTTCCTCCTCCACAACAGGTGCAGCTCTGTCACATTCTTTGATCCTGAGCCGCAACCTCCGGCCAGATTCATCGTCTGTTCGATATATCTGTGTTATCTTTTCGGAAATCGCTTAAATGGTTGCATACTTCGAAAGTAGCACTTCTTGGCATGCGACGTCCACCGGTTATCAACAAGGCGAGCAACGTACTCCACCACCGGATCCTTTTATTTCCCTTCTTCTATTATCACCACGGACCTTGGGCGACTACTATCCCACCCTTGTATTTTCCTATTGCATGCACAATTGCTGCAGTCCCTGCCGTCTAATACCCTTCGCTGATTGGGCCGCTGTTCCGGCCCCTTCTTGTTTTCGTCACAGGGCCTTTTAGGCCCGAACTGCTTTTGTTTCCTCATGTTCCATCACACGTAAAACAGACTGGATGCATACGGCCACAGAGCGATAGGCTAGGCATTCTTCACTTCGTAGCCTTCTCCACCACAGCTGACGCTCGCTTTTCTACATTCTTCAGCGACCAAGTTCGTCTCCGTAAGTTACTGCTTTCAGCATAATGGCACCGAAAAGGTAGGCAGTCCACTTCGAAATTTGAGGAAACCGACGATGCCGTGAAATTTGCACCAACTGGCAGCCCTCGGTGTGCAATCTGATTGAGAATGCCAAACATATTTACTTCCTGGCCAAGACAAACATAACAATCAACTTATCGGCATCTACATCATTCTATATCAACTCTGCTTTTGCTGCGTTGATTTTTATGCCCACTTCTCTACTTCGGGCATTTCGCTGAAAAAATTTACAAAAAGTAAAAAAAATGGATGAGCATATGCCTAAAATTTTAAAACCACCCACCAAATGCATTAAAAAATAATAGGAAAAGTCCAAAACAACTACAGGAAGTACGGAAGCAAAAAACTTATTTATACCTTCAAAAAGTTATTTTCAAACTCTTCGCTGTATTCTTTGAGATACGTGTCTGAGTTTTCTGCGAACAGCAGCAGCTGCCGTTGATGCGTCTCGCTGGTCAAATGACATTTGAAGCCGTTCTGATCGCGGCACTGTTTTTTGCACATCTGACAAAACCTGAACAAAAATCATAAGTAAAATTTTTGATCAGTCAAACTGCGCAAACCATTTTGAGGAATTGACATGAAAATAGAGGAATAGAAGGATTTCACTCGAATGTCATGTGAATGAAGACATTTTATGGCGCAGTTTATGCTTTATCCCTTAGCTGTGTATACACAGACCGAACTTTGCGTACGAGTAGGAGTGGGAAGCATCAGTACAGCCTCCTATCCGCCAGGTTTTGAATAGTCAAGTAACTGATTTGCAAGACGAATTAGAAACAGCTCTGCATGCTCTCCCTCGCATGCTCTCCTATTGTTTCCCAAAGAAAGTTATTGCTTTGCTTCTTTAATAGTTGCGAAAAATTGCCTTTATTTTTCCACGCTCATTTTCTCCCTTTAAATGGTACTTTTTAGCGTTTTCGACTACATTCATTTACTCTTTATAGCAATCAAATACTTTTCGGATAAATTTTTTTATCCTTTGGATCAAACTTTACGATGCTTCTTACATGAACTTTGCATCTCCCCCTGATCCATTTCTGCGCTACAATGTCTGAACTTCGCACTTTTAAGCAGTTATTCGAGTTTTTTTTCCTTTTTACAAAAATAATTTTGATGTCATCCCATACAGACGAGTAGTGGAGATCAAGGCAAAAATGTTGCATCCATAAAGTACGATGAATCTTACCATCTCAACTTCTGCAGACCTTTCGATTTGCATCGATTTGCAATTTCCTTCGGCGTTCCCTTTTCGTACTTTCCCATCCCTCTGAAAATTACAGCGAAATTTAGCACTTCGACGGAAGTAATGATCTTCTTCCACTGCGATTCTGCATTGCTAGAGTTCGGTGAATACTCCGGTAAATTGATTAGTGAAAGAATAAATGGCCAGCGCACCAAATGCCGGTGCGAAGACGGGTTTTTTGCATAGTTCCCTGCACGTATTGTCGCTATCGGCGCCGATTTTTCCAGCACATGCTTCTTGATAAGAGAACTGAGACTGGCCCACAAAGACTGTTTGAAAACATTCCTTTAGAATTTCTGCTTTCTAACTTCCCTGGCTTCCGAGCTAGCAACTTACTCGAAAAAACTTTCACGGGCCCGTACGCGAGTACCACGCATAACCGAGAGCTGGGTTTGAAGTCATTAATACCTACTTGGACGGGAAACATCCCCTTAAAGTTCCAGTCTACTAGCTTTCCAGGTTCCCGATTTAGCAACTTACCCGGAAAAAACTTTGCGGGCCCGTACATGAGTACCACGCGAGTAAGGGCGCCTACTTTGGGGATGAAGGCCGTACATGCATGTAGATTAATTTTCAAAGTTTCAGCTCTATAGCTTTTGCACGTCTCGACACGAAAAACCAGAACGAAGAACACACGTACATACACACACATACACAGAAAAACACACACATACACACAGACAAACTTTCGACAATATGCATTTTTGCATTGCACAGATGCAAAAAACGCGTAAAAATGATGCGAAGCAAAAAAAAAAGGTAAACAATCGTACTTGTGTTAGGACGAGACCGAAAATGTTGAGGTATCCAAAATAGTTTCAGTGGCCACCGTTCGACCTTTGCTGTATCAAGATGGTCACAACCGTCACTGGTCCACAACTTCGCTTCTTACTTCAAAAATGCTGAAAAACAGAGCCTGAAAAACATGCAAAACTTCAAAAAAGTTCTCCACCGAGGAACTCATTTCTAACGAATAAAAAGCAATGCTTCTTTCAGTATCAACAGAGATGTCAAGGGAAGAGGGGGAGGGGGGGAATTTAACGGGAAGGGACGGGAGCAAGG